GGAGCAGATCATAGCCAGTCAAAGTAAAACGTCGCGGCATATTCGGCAGTTATTGAAGATAATAAGATGATGACATTCTGACATTCGGTTCTGTGTTCTGATTCTCGAAAGAGCTTCCTGTGTGTGTTTAGCAAAAACTGTCAGGGCCGACTTGGGCTTCCGCCGCACTGGGGAGCAGAATCCTCGCACTTTCAAACACAAATTCCACAAGACGCCAATGCCCATCCCTTGGAGGTAGACCAGGAACGGGCGAGTACAGCCACTCGACAAACAAGTCGCGCGTTTTTAAATCCTTCAATGTCCTTTCCCTCAAGTTGTAGCCCATCCGCTGGGCCAGGTCGCGCAGCCCCGGATGACAGTCCGAATAAAGGAGGAGACAGCTCAGGCCCGAATCCAGTCCTTGAGACTGCCTGCAACGGTGATTCCATGTATCCCATCCACGAATCCCCTTTGGCATTCCACAAGCGTAGCAGCACGTCCATTTGGGATATGCGAAGCCCACGAAACATTCACTTGTCTGGTGTCCTCCGAAGTGACACCGCTTGCAAACACGATTAGATACGCATTGATGCTCGGCCTTCAGGACGGGTTTCGCCTGTCGAATGGTACATCGCATGCAGTAATCATCCATCAACTTCAGAACGCCAATAAACTTGTCAGCCGCCGCGTGGTGCATCAGATATTTTTTTTTTGTCCCCGATTTCGACCGAAATATTGGCGCGACGTTGTGCCGATTCGGCGGCGTAGCCGCAGCAGATACCGTGGATTCAGAGCGAGTGGTAGCAGTAGCGGCAACGGTAGCGGTGCGCGTGCCACTCGATGCTGCTCGTTTTGCTGCGGGAAGAGGCGACTCCGCTGCTTGCGCCGCTGTTGAAGAAGCAACAGCTGTGCACGTGACATCCGATGCCGTTCGCTTGGATGTTGAGGCAGCAGGGCTGGTAGCGATGCCGTCGCCATCGTCATGATTGTCAGACCCAGGGGTACATGTACTTTCAGCAGCCAGCGGCACTCGCTTACGCCGCAGTGTACCCGAGGCTGAGCTTACAGCCGATCGCGCCGGAGAGGAGGTTGAACCCGAGGCCGATGGTACTGGCACGCAAATGATCGAGGCCGACGGGGTTGGCGCGTGTTTCGTGGGGGTTGGCTGTGCTGCTGACTGCACGACTGGCTGTGACGTGCTCTCGCCCTCTGCCAACGTTGTTTGCACCGAGCCTCGCGCCTCTTGCTGTAAAGGCGCCTCATCATCAGCATCAGAGACCATGGGGGAAGCTGGCACCGACATGGATGCTGTATCTGCCTCATCAATCCAAGCAGCACTCGTCTGTATCCGTGGCACGGCAGCATCCGTCATAGGCCCTGCATTTGTCGCCATCACAGCCGTGTCTTGGGCACGTGGAGTGCTTCTGCTCGACTGCGCTGCAACGGCACCTGTTCCTGGGGACGCGACTGTGTCAACGCTCGATGCTGAAGTTACATCCAAAGCGGACTCTGGCCCGATCGATTCTTCTTCCTCGAGCCGTGCTGCAGGTGGCTCAGACAACACATCTTCCTCCTCCGCCATCGCCTCGGGCTC